ATTGTAGAATGTTCTTCAATTTAAAATGTATGTGATCCATTGGTTAAAAATAAATGGGTCAGTTTTTCTCATATCTTCTCTTTTTCACTGTTTGACTTGATCAAGACTTTTCTAAGATTTTACATTACAAAATAGGTAAAAGTGTGTGACTTGTACTGTTATGATAACGGGTCAATATCGGTATCGTATTGGAAGTGAAAAAGTGGTATCGGGACATCCCTACAAACAACAACAAAAAGCCGAACCTCTCTGAAATGAGAACAAGGTTACATTTTGTTTTTTAAACAACACGTCTGCAGTAACTTCCACCTACATCTGACCCAAGATTTGTAATAAATAATCATAAATAAACTCAGGTTTCAACATGTTTGTGTTAAATAAAGGATCAGAAACTCTGGAACGCTCTGAGCTGATGATATCAGCGGAGAGGTATCCATCATGATGTCATCGCTGACATAGAAAACCCCCGCTGCATGCTGGGAGAAGGTGTTAACAAACACGAGGTGCAGATGAGTGAGAGATAGGAGGAGGAACAGCAGCATGTGGATGATGTCACAGCTGATCTGACCCGGGTTCTGTTTCTGGCTCTAACACACCCAGGTTGATGAGGTCCAGATGGGTGTGGTCCCACAGAATGTTCACATCATGTCAGTGACACGCAGAAATGTTCAGAGCTTCGTCCTCACAGGGAGGCCCAAAGGTGCTCAGGTCAGAAGCATTCAGTCGTTTCCCAGCAGGACGCTGCATTTATCAACATTTTCAACAAAACGGTCCAACAAACGACACGTCTGAGAAGAGCATGCAAGTTCTCCGTTTATTTTTCCTGAACAGGATGAACTTTAAAGGTTGAACAAACCATTTCAATTTTCATGTAAAGGTTACAATTTAAGGAACAAAACTGACATAAGAGTTCATAAACTTTCACAGCAACAAAGGCCGGAGCCTGAATGCTGAGCTGAGCTCAACATAAGAGAAGAATTAAACCAACATCAGCTCGTTATGAACAGGTGGAGGTAACATTAATTAAAATGTAGTTAATTAAACCAACAGGTGGAGGTAACCTTCATTAAAATGTAGTTAATTAAACCAACAGGTGGAGGTAACATTAATTAAAATGTAGTTAATTAAACCAACAGGTGGAGGTAACCTTCATTAAAATGTAGTTAATTAAACCAACAGGTGGAGGTAACCTTCATTAAAATGTAGTTAATTAAACCAACAGGTGGAGGTAACCTTCATTAAAATGTAGTTAA